ACATAGACCTAAATAACACGTTGTTGTTTCTACGTCTTAAAATCAAGAGACCTAATGGGGCAGACATTTCAGACACTGCAAAGGTAACCCCGATAAATTACCCCGGAGCCACTATATTCTCGCAAGTCGATGTCAGTCTTGGTGATCGCCTGATATCTCAGAGTTCGAGCACGTATCCTTACCGATGTATCATCGAGAGTCTTCTCAACTACAGCAAAGATACGCTGGAATCGCTTTTCTCGGCGGGTCTGTTTTTCAAAGACACAGCGGGGCAGATGGATGAGACCGACCCTGTGGGTCGTAACGCGGGGCTGACCAAGAGATGGATCTACACAGCCGGAAGCAAGGTTGTGGAACTGTTGGTGCCTATTCACAGTGATATTTTCTTCCAAGAAAAATTAATGCTAAACGGCGTCGACATAAAAATACGAATGATCAGAGGCAAAGATGAATTCTGCCTGATGACCGACGAGGATGTGGCCTATAAATTAAATATCATGTCGGCGACGCTTTTTGTCAAGAAAGTGACCGTATCGCCATCCGTGAGACTGGCACATGCCCAGACTTTGCTCACAACTACGGCCAAGTACCCCATAGATAGGGTATGCCTGAAAAATTTCTCCATACCAGCAGGGTCCCGCGTATCAAATCAGGAAAATTTGTTTTTGGGGACATTGCCAAAATCTATCGTGCTGGCTATGGTTGATAACGACGCGTTCACCGGTACCTACGATAAAAACCCATTCGCGTTCAATCATTACGATTTGGAGTTCCTAGCCGTCTACGTCGACGGACAACAATTCCCCGCTAAACCTCTACAGCCAGACTTCGAATCTGGTTCTGCCGTCCGTGAATTTTATCAGCTGGCGACCGCAACCGGGAGACATCTTAAAAACCAAGCCCTCTCTATCAACAGGGATGATTTTCTGAAAGGCTACTCGCTTTACGCCTTTAACCTCACGCCTGACGAAGACTGCAGTCAGCATATATCGCTCATCAAGTCCGGGAATATCAGACTCGAAGCACGTTTCAAAAAACCGCTGCCGCATACTATTAACCTCATCATTTACGCTGTGTTTGACAGCATCCTCGAAGTGTCTAACCGCAGACAGGTCCTGCTCGATTACTACTGAACAGAAAATAAACACGACACAGCTCACCGCTATTAACCTCGTCGTTTACGCTGTGTTTGACAGCATCCTCGAAGTGTCTAACCGCAGACAGGTCCTGCTTGATTACTACTGAACAGAAAATGAACACGACGCAGCTCACCGCTATCATGGACAAAATTTCATGTAACACTCATTTTCTCGGCGTTCTCTCGAGCGATCAGTTGCCTGAAGCCCCGTTAAGGAACTTACCGTCGATGTCTATCATTAACACGCATGCTTCGGACCTGCCGGGGGAGCACTGGCTGGCTGTTTATTTAACTCGAGACGGTTCAGCGTGTTTTTTTGATAGCTACGGTAACGCTCCTGACAAAGAACGCTTTCCGATCTCCATCAAAAACTTTTTAATATCCAACTCATCCGTCGTGTTATATTCTACCAAACGCGTTCAAGATTTTACCTCGGATACATGCGGACAACACTGTGTGTTTTTCCTATATCATTTAGGTAGGGGTTGCGACTATAACTACGTGATGAATTTGTACAGCGACGATTATATTAAAAATGATAAAATGGTGTCGCTCTTTGTGAAAAGACTAAGATCTAATGCTTGTAATGACATTTTTTTTTCTTGTATTCATTGTGTGCAAACGTGTAATACTGATATGCTGCATGATTGAATTATCCATTGTATGTGTTTTGATCATAAATAAAAACGCTTAAAACCACATCAGTTTTACGGTCTTTTATTCAAAAATATTCAAATAGTAGGTATACATGTCGTATCACAGAGACATGCATTTAAAGAGCATGAGAATACATCATTCAAATTCGTATACATATTTTACAGACATTTAAAGAAAATACATCATTAAAATTCTAACCATTGCCTTCGATCGAGAGACGGTGATTTGAACGAGGGTTCATCCGTCCTCAGAGCCGTAATACGTGAAATTCTCTTTTTGACAGCCTTTTTAGAAGGTCGTACAGGTTCAGGTATGACTGTGCGACCTCCAGGAGTGTTTTTTAAAGAACTAATCAAACGTCTAACATGTTGATTAGGCACCATAGAAAACGGTATGTTTAATTCGGCAAACGCCTGTAAAAACTCAGACCATCCTAGAGGCCTTCTGTCATCCCGGACCTGGTGTGGCGCCGTGACATTTTTTAACAAATCGAGCATGTGTGAACCTGGCACTGCTTCAACCTTAAACACAAATGTACCCGATTCGTTCCAAGCACAGTCCTTTAGCTTTAGACATTTTGTCTAATATGTATCGACTGTTTTTTACGCTTCGTGGTGAAACGTTTTTCAGAACTTCTGCTACGACGTCTTCCGAACCCCATCGTCTCCGCGAGTATGATTGTCTTTATGACCGGGATCGGGATGCGGCAACGATAGCGTTAAAACGCTACTCTCACGATCACCTTGTTTAACGATCGTTAAAAACCTGGTTAGGGTACTTGAGTATAGTTTAGCCTTTTCACGTTTATCTAAATCAGTCCTGAGTAAAATATTTCTTATGGCAGTGTCCAGATCATTCTCTACGACCTGCTGAATGTTCTCACGGGGGGTAGTCTGCTGTTCTGCTAGTTGAGGGTCGCTCGGAATCGTTATTACCTGCAGGGGGCGCGGTTCTTCTAGACGATGAACGTTCGGTAGCAGAAGTGGTAGTTGATGAATGCTTAGCACCGGCAGGTGTAGAGTCGGAATCTGTTAATGCGCCACCGTTTTGCACATTGTTTTGTTGTAACAGCTGGTTGTGCTCTTCTAGTATGATCTGTAATATATCGCACAAATTCAAATTTAGGGTCTGGTCCATTTCTATTTGTTGCAAATCACAAGCATTTAGCATAGTGTAATCAGGAAATGGTCCTATCACATCTGGGTGCGAACTTATCATTTGTTGTAATCTATCGCATAGAGTCATATTATCAGGAGCATTTTGAATTTGCAAATCAATTATACTCTGTAGCGTGTCAGAAAAAACTAGATATATGTGAAATCATATATATATATATATATATATATATATATATATATATATATATATATATTATTACTAGTCACTATATAATGTATAACAAAAAATAAAATCTTTGTTTGGAACTCTGATGTTGCTATCACTATCTCCCTGTGATTAAACCGTCCCGGGCGTGTGACAATATGCAGAAAATGATATAAAACACTAATGTATAACAAAAAATAAAATCTTTGTTTTGGAACTCTGATGCTGCTATCACTATCTCCCTGTGATTAAACCGTTCCGGGCGTGTGACGATATGCAGAAAATGATATAAAACACAGTCAATAACAGGGATTTAAAGTTTTGTAAGAGAAAAATAAATAAATAAATAAATAAAATAAAAAAATAAACCGTATTTTATGGTGTCAATCGATAGCATCCGATCTCTGGATTCTGTCATCCAGCACTGCTCTACTGTCGTAGCCAGCTGAGTTAGTGCATGAGCCATGATAGCAGGAGTATTTCACCCGATGTTAAACGATCGTTCATACTTAAAAATGATGAACTAGGGCAATATAATAAAAACTTACCGCTCAATGATGCGTTCGAATCTCCATCATCGGGCCTTATTACTGGAGAAACGATCGCTATTTTAAGACATTTTGCCGGTCTCGCTGCGGTTGTTCGTGTTTACGTGCTGGGGGCTTCTGCAACATCTGAGTTGCATATTTTCCGGCTCTCTTGGATGACGTTTTCCACACTACGGCTCTCTTGGATGACGTTTTCCACACTACGGTTCTCTTGGATGACGTTTTCCACACGACGGCTCTCTTGGATGACGTTTTCCACACTACGGTTCTCTTGGATGACGTTTTCCTCTGGCTGCGACGGACCAAATCCTGGCTTTGTTATAAGCTCCAAAAATTCTAGGATTTTCCCCACTACGGCTCTCTTGGATGACGTTTTCCACACTACGGTTCTCTTGGATGACGTTTTCCACACGACGGCTCTCTTGGATGACGTTTTCCACACTACGGTTCTCTTGGATGACGTTTTCCTCTGGCTGCGACGGACCAAATCCTGGCTTTGTTATAAGCTCCAAAAATTCTAGGAATTAAAATATATCTATATAAAATGTCTCGCTGTGGTTGTTCGTGTTGACGTGCTGGGGGCTTCTGCATCATCTGTGTTGCATCTCTTCCGGCTCTCTTGGATGACGTTTTCCACACGACGGCTCTCTTGGATGACTTTTTCCACACTACGGCTCTCTTGGATGACGTTTTCCACACGATGGATCTCTTGGATGACGTTTCCCTCTGGTTGCGACGGACCAAATCCTGGCTGAGTTATAAGCTCCAAAAATTCTAGGAATTAAAATATATCTATATAAAATAAGATAAATATAATATTGCAGTTTATTAATAGTACATAGATAGAAATAACTCACCTTCTCCGCAGACGTCGACTATTGCAGCTCTTGCTAACAATCACCAATAAAAGTCGGTTAATAATGAATACCTAAATATATAAAAAATAAATAAATTAATTAATTAAAGAAAAAAAAATATATATATATATTAGGAATGTATAGACACATGAATTACCAAAATGATCTATTTCGTTGAATGCAGAATATTCCACACCAAATTGTCTTTGCACATCTGTGAAATTATAAGCCTATTTATCAATTGTAATCAGCTGTACATTTTTTACATTCTTAAAAGCATAAATTAATCTTTAAAATTTGTAATTACTATGACGTTCCTGTGTCATCTTGGATATTGCCGAAAAAGTTGTAGAGCAATTATTTGAAACTGATGGAAGTTTGTTCACAGCTGAATGATTCTTGGAATAGTGCCAAGCAATTTATATACCGCAGAGCTGAAGTATGGGCGAAGATAGCTCTGATATTTTCTGTTATTGAACGCTCAGAAACCTCTCTCATATCCTGAGGCAACATAACGATGACCCTGGGGTCGCTTGCATCTGCTCGGCTTCAGACAGACAAAGAAGTCTTATGCTCGTATATGTGTAAGGCTTCTATAAGCAATTCAATGCTTGAACAGTTGTCTGCTATGTTTTTAAGTATCTTCAACAACCTTGACAATCTCTCGCGATCCTGAGTCCCGCATGTCTGACCAACATCCGGTGGTCACAAACACACAGAGACCTTATGAGTTTAAGTGACCGGAGATTGTGACACATACACGTCCCTTGCCAAGCAGGGCCTATAGGCTGCCTGAGCGCCTGAGTGCGTGTGTGTGTGTGTGTGTGTGTGTGTGAGAGAGAGAGAGAGAATGAGAGAGAGACTGACCCCTGTGTCTTATAGTCTGCCTGTGTCCTATAGTCTGCCTGTGTGTGTGTGTCTGTATGTGTGTGTGTGTGTGTGTGTGTGTGAGAGATAAATTATTATAATCTGAGTTATTTCACTGTATTATTTTCCCATTTATCAGCTCTTTTCTGATTTTCCACAGAAATGGCCTGCTCTATTTATACAAGTATTCTATGGAACTCCACCCGATACGAACACATATGGTCCATAGCTGACCCCGGGCGATCGAGTTCAAACATGACTCATGTCTCAACCATGGAGATTGTGGGCTAATTATGGTGTGACACGATATATTACAAAACCCATCCGCTAATCATTAAAGGACAATATCCTACTTCATGATGGAGGTCGCAGTTTAATTATGTCACTCCGGATATATGCTACAAACAGATGGCATTTTAACATCCGCGAATTTTTTGTAAGTCTCAAGTCTCAATTCTCAATTTATTTATAAAGCACAGTTAAAAACAACTACAGTTGACCAGTGTGCTGTACAATGTTGTAAAAGACTTATAAAAACATGTATACAAACCAAGCAAACATCAGACAACAAACAACATCACAAGTCATAGGCTGCAGTGACGAGATATGTTTTTAACTTTGATTTAAAAATATGTAATATTGGTGCAGTTCTAATATGGATCGTTAACGCATTCCAAAGTTTAGGTGCGGCTATGGCAAAAGCTCGATCACCCCTAGATTTTAATTTTGACTTTGGAACAGTTAACAAACTCTGGTTGGCAGACCTAAGAGTTCTTTCCGAATTATATTCACACAACAGGTCGGAAAGGTAAGGGGGAGCGAGGCCATTTAAACATTTAAAAACAAGCAAAAGCACTTTAAAATCAATTCTAAAGCATACTGGGAGCCAATGTAAAGATAGTAGCACGGGAGTAATATGTTCGTATTTACGAACACCGTTTAAAAGACGTGCAGCTGCATTTTGGACCATTTGTAATCTAGATATTGAAGAACAGATTATTCCCAGATACAAGGAATTACAATAATCAATTCTAGAAGAAATAAAAGCATGAATTGCAGTTTCAAAGTGCTTAAAAGAAAGGAAGGTCTTCACTTTAGCCAACGTTCTTACTTAGCCGATCTTACGGCTTTCTGATATTGAGATAAAGAAGACCTTAAGATTTCATACAAAATCTGGAGCTTATCTTTCTTCCACCTTCTTTCAGCTCTTCTGCTTTCTGTCTAAGAGCACGTGTTGCATCATTTAACCAGGGTAAAGACTTGGGTTTGGATTTTTTAAGCTGCAGAGGAGCTACAGAGTCCAAAATATTAGTGCAAACATCATTATACATCAAACAATGTATAAGCTCTTCGGCACTTTGAGCAGATAGAAAGGAGACTAGAGATTGAGAAAATGCCTTGAACATTGATGAGAAAGTATCACTAGTGGTGGAAGATATTATACAAGTCATACAGGCAGGTTTACATGATTTAACAACAGGAGATGACAAAGGAACAGTAAATAAAATAGGTTTATGATCTGAGAAACGTTGTTTTCTCAAAAACACAACCAAGTACTGCATGCTGCTCACATATTATTGTAGCCCAGTTTGTGCTGATTATAGTGCAATTAAACTTTAGCCATTAAAATGTTTATAAGCAACTGAAAAAAGCACAAAGGTCAGGGTATTTCTAAACTTCTCCAGGGCCCCAAAACACCCTCGGACCCCAGAGGGTTAAGGAAGATATCGCCAGAAGGAAAACAGTTTTGATAGAGAGAAAGCGATCAGAAATCTCCTCAATAGGCTAGAATGGAGACTTGCAGAGAGCTTCTAACACCACAGCCAGGTCCCACGTGGGGACGCGAGATCGTACCGGGGGCCTCAGCCTCAGTGCACCACGGAGGAAACGTGTAACTAGGGGGTGTCTGCCTACCGACTGACCACTGAGAGGGTCGTGGTTGGCCGCAATGGCCGCCACGTAGACCTTCAGTGTGGAGTGGGTTAACCCGGCGGAGAAACGGGCCTGCAGGAACTCCAGCACTGTACCAACCGGTACCAACCAGTTAACTGCCCGGTTGGCCTCCATTCCCCTCCCAACAACTTCGGTTGAGAGACCGGAAGCTACGAGTTGTGCCCCCTCAGAAGCCACACCCACAGCTTCCACAGCTCCGGGCGTGGGTGGAGAATCGTACCCATGGAGAGCCGTCGAGAAGGGAAATCAGGTCCTAGAACCAGGTCCTCTGGCCTGGCCAGAACGGGGCTACTAGCAGCAAACGGACCCCAGTCCCGCCGCACTCTCTCCAGAACTCCCGGGAGCAGAGCAATCAGGGGAAATCGGGGGAGCAGAGCAATCGGGGGAAAGGCATACAGACGACGCCTCGGCCACGTCTCTACCATAGCATCCAGCCCCAGTGGAGCTGGATGAGTCAGAGACAACCAGAGGGGACAGTGCGATGTCATTTGAGTCGCAAACAGGTCCACCTGAGCCTGGCCAAAAATTCTCCATATCTGCTTCACCACCTTGGGGTGAAGTCTCCATTCCCAGAGCCTCGGCACCTGCCTCGACAGGATGTCTGCTCCCATATTTAGATACCCAGAAATATGCACTGCCCTCAACGAAAGGAGTTTGTCCTGGGACCACACGAGGATCTGGTGTGCCAGCTTGTACAAGAGGTGCGAACGCAGACCTCTCTACCTCTCTGGTGGTTGATGTAAGAGACCAACACATGACGATCTCTTAGGTCCGGGAGGAAGTGCTTTAAAGCTCGATACACGGCCAGCATCTCAAGGCAGTTGATGTGCCACGTGAGATGGCGACCGCTCTACAGACCACGGGCAGGGTGGCCACTCATGACCGCTCCCCAACCAGTGAGGGACGTGTCCGTCGCTAGCATTATGCGGCGACAAGGAGCTCCCAGCACTGGGCCCTGAGACAAGAACCAAGGCTTCCTCCACACGTCCAAGGCACGTAGGCATCGCCGCATGTACAGCAGGCCAAAAGGTATCAAGTTGGACGCAGCTGTCATCAGACCCAGCAGCTTCTAAAACTGCTTGACAGTGAGTGACCGGCCTTCTCTGACTCTCGCGACTGCAGTGAGGATCGACTTGATCCGAGCAGGAGACAAACGTGCCTGCATCGTGGTCGAATCCCACACCACGCCCAGATAGGTGGTTGTCGAATCCCACACCATGCCCAGATAAGTGGTCCTCTGTAGTGGAGAAAGTACACTTTTCTTGGCGTTCAGCCGTAACCCCAGCTCTCTCATATGGGTGAGGATGACATCTCGATGCCGAGCCATCATCTGCTCTGACTGAGCTAAAATCAACCAATCGTTGATGTAATTCAGTATGCGGATGCCCTGGAGTCGCAGAGGAGCCAGAGCAGCATCCACACACTTCTGAAAGTGCAGGGTGAGAGTGCAAGGCCAAAAGGAAGAACCCGACATTGCTAAGCCTCGCCCCTGAAAGCAAACCTCAGGAACTTCCTGTGATGAGGAAGGATAGAGACATGGAAGTATGCATCCTTTAGATCTATCGTAACAAACCAGTCCTCGGACCTGATCTGAGACACGACTTACTTGATAGTGAGCATCCTGAAATTCAGTCGCATGACTGAGCGGTTCAACTGATGTAGATCTAAAATGGGACGCAGCCCTCCATCCTTCTTCGGAACAATGAAGTACCAGCTGTAGAACCCGACTCTCTGTCGTGAGGAGGGACCACCTCTATGGCTTCCTTCCTCAAGAGAGTGTTCACTTCTTGTTCTAATACCAGAGTCTTCTCGGGGCCCACAAGCGTGGGAAAGACCCCGTTGAAAGGTGGCGGAGGAGCGCCGAACTGAATGCGACAGCCTCTTTCTACAGTATGCAGGACCCATCGAGACACATTTGCCAGTAACTTCCACGCTGCTAAATAGTCTACTAAGGGAACCAGTTTCTCGAGACTGGCCTCCGGTGTACTTGTAGCTGCTAATTCGGTGCCCTGAAGCGGAGGACCGGCGGGAGACCCCCGCAGGGGTGGTGAGCCCCTCAGCTCCGCTACGTTTCCGGGCGGAAGAGACTGAGGGAAGCGCTCGCTGGAGACCGCTGTGCCCTGAAGCACCATTGGTGGCAGGGTTGGCAGATAGGTCTCCCGAGGGCACTGAGGAGAGATGGACACCATATGATGCGGTGCACCCCGCTCTTCCCCAGTAGGGGCCGCCCTCAAAGGTCCTTAGCCACGTATGTTTTGGTTGAGGACTTCCACTGAAGAACGACCCTAAGATCGGGCTTCGACTTTGAAGCCCCCGACCTAGAGTGATCTCGGTCCCGTTGCGGGAGAGCGCGAGAAGCGACATTCTGTTTTTGTGCCTTGCGGTATGAGGAGGAGGTACACGGCGAGGGCTGCTCCCGCCCGGCAGCCCCCAGAGCTAGAGAGCGGTGAGGGAGGAACCGCTGGAATGCCGCCGCCAGTTTACGAGCCTCCTGTCGACGACGGAATTGACTCCGCTTCGC